CGCCTCAAACCCTGACCTAACGGCCAGACGCGACAGGAGGGAGCAGGAGAGCGAGAGCAATTTAGTCTCAGTGGCTACTCATTCATTCAAAAGCTTATCACAGGCAGGGCTCGCGATTGTGTAATTACGTGTTAAGTTTAAGACCTCGGCAGTGAATTTAAGGGAAAAAACACAGCAGAGAAATGAATAAACACATATGGTCACTATGGAATAAGCGACTGGTTAAAAGATTGGATTGTTTTTGAAGGTTGCACAAATTAATCGTCAAGTCTTCCTAAATTGTTTCGTGTGCCATGAGACAAGCAGAAAAAGAGAATTCGTTTTTTGCGGTGGATATGGGGAGGGGAACGGATGGAGTATATAATAATATTATAAAAGTAATGTCATTTGAAAATGACTTTTAAGAGTTTAGCTGCTGTTTCTTAAGCTATGTATTTGCGGACACAAACTGAGATTTATGATCTATAAATTTGTTTAATACCCATGCAGAAAGTGCAGAGGGACGGAGCATATGGTTTACTTTGCCTTCTCATTTATTCTATCCACATCTACCAAAATAGTATCCGATTTTTAATATACAAATGGCCAATTTAATAAAGATCTCTTTCTTTCTTTCGATCCTACCGTCACTTTTTGCTGTAGAAAGTGACCTTTCAACCTAGAACGTGTTTGCTTTAAGGCTTCACTCTGTCCATGGCACCAAACAGCATTGATTGTTAGTGTTTACCAGGGACAGTTTTGGTAAACAGTAGGTATAATCGTGTGGAATTAAGCCGGTATATCTGATAGCACAGACTGGGCTTCATCAGTCCCATAAGAGTCCTAAACTTACTTCTATCTCATGGTATATTGCGCACCAGGCAGACTTAAAACACCTTAAATGTTCTACAGCCATTATATTCCGTTACCTCACATCTTCTCATTAGCCTGTTCTTTTGTTTTCCCTCCTTATTTTTCAGCGTGACGGTAATGGTTACATGACGTAACATAATTTCCATGTCCTAATACCACATTCGATTCCCTGCTCCTACAGTCTTACAAATGAATCCAGCATGTCACATTGTCACATCGAGAGCCTCCCATTTTCGCAGAGTACCAGGGGTCTCTTAAACACTGCCCACTCTTAGTGCCACATCCTTTTTCCTGAAGACCTCCAAGACCCCTTCAAGCATAAGAGCTTTTAGCTAGCCCGCGCTAATGTGTAGAATAATAGCTACTCCCTGAATCTTGATGGCCCCTGGAAGCTGACTGAATTTGTGCACAACAGCATCTACAGTGCAGTAATATTCCCCTTTTTATATCTATTCTTGTGTGCTGCCACCCCTAATCTAGTCTTATTACATCTCTCTCCTTCTATTCTCTTTACCTCATATGGCCTTTCAATTTTAGCGTGATTAGTAAGGTGGAGGATATTATCTGTTCTGCTCAGAGACGTGACAGAATATTATGGAACAAGACTAATACTACAATTATGCTTTACAACTAGAGACAAAGAAACTAATATTTCTGTCATATCAGCACATATGCAATAGTTGTTAACTACTGTAATACAAAATGTGCTGCAGATACACTTTACTCATGGACTTTTGTTTGTACGTTAACATTCATTTGAGAGGAGTTTATCCTGTGGGGTCTCACATTAGGGTTCAGGTAGCGGGTCATAGATCAGCATGAAAGGGCAACGTCAGTGTCCACACAGCATTAGATCCTGTTTATCTGTTGGCAGTCTATCCCACTGATCCTCTTTTTACCACTAGCCCCCAGGACATCTGTAATCCACAGAAGTGACATATGAAGCCGAGTTGATTTCTTTTTTTCTTTTTCTTTTTTTGCCTTGTTTGTTGATATTGCATCTGAATTGCTAATTTATTTGGGCCATCAACTTTGGTCCTTTGAATAAATGTATGTTCTAACTGCGGGATGGATTAAAGTTATACAAACCCTCTCTCAGTCAGTTATGCAAACCGCAGCAGCTTACTATGAATAACTGATACATCTTGGAAACAACAGCTAAAATTTATCCTGGGCAAAACACATTAAATAAAATAGAAATCCACCTCTGTGTCAGCTGTGTTTCCGGATGGCCTTTAGACAAAACTACCCACAGAAGTGCCATGTTGCCATTGCCACACAAAAAAAAGTTAGTTTGAGCTTCTCATAAAAAAAGTGTTTCCACTGCAATTAGGTGTATAATACAATTGAAATACACCTCCTTAAAAAAAAAAATAATAATATGGAAATTCATGTGGAGCTAGACTCATTTCTGAATTTTCAAAAAAGCAGTGACCTATACTTGGTGGCCTACTGTTTATAATTAGCCCACATTCATAATAATAGCCCTATGTAATAATAATTACATAAACAAATAGAGTCTCAAATCTCACTCGGTTTTACATTACTGAGATAATTCGAACTCTATTAGCCCTACTAGACAGACGCAGGGGGCGAATGGGGGGGGGGGGGGGGGGGGCGTATTCAGGAAGTGAAAACAAAGGGTATTGTTTTTACATATATCAGTGTTTTTATGAGTTTCATCAGAGTTTTTAAACAACGTATCATAAGACTGCGCTAAATGTAAACGCTCGGAAAAAACAGAAATCGCCATTAGGTGAGGTTGTCACCATAGCAACAGATGTTCGATCGGTGTCAGTATCGGACTCGGAGTGTAGGCTACATCAACAAACACACGTATTGTTACCGTTCATCGTGTTATTTATTTATTTAGGCTATTTATTTATTACATAGCCAATATATTACAATAATCGTTATAGTAGTTCGATCTTTAAGATGGTTATCTGCGCTAGGGGCGCCAAAAGACAATTCGGAATGTGCCATACGAACTTCAACCGACTGAGATGACTGAAATGGCTTTTAAGATGTCACTCTCCTGAAAGTCGTTAAATAATTCGCACAGTGGACAGATGTAGGCTAGTCTGTACATAGGCTACAGTGAAGTATAACTAGCTATAGCTGCCTAACTGCAGCTGTTTTGGAGAATGAATACTGAAACTCTCAGACGCAGAAAGCAAATAAAGTTGCAGTAGGCTACTATCGGAATTCAACTCGTGTTCCCTCACAAATACATAATAACATGCGCTAATAATCTAAATTAAAATGAATGATATATGTCGAATATCTTTAAATCCTTCTTTTCTCGTCATCTGTATGCTGAGTGGAAAAAGGGACTGTGGGAGAGCAGGTGAGCACTTGTCTTTTCAAATAGACGGCGTCGAGAAACTGGTGTAGCCTAATCATTTTGTTGAGATAAAGTTTCGTTTATTTTTTGTAGTCTATTTGTTAAAGTATTCTAACAGTTAAAAGCAACAATTGTCCGACTTGGCTATGGCATTGACAACTGAATTGTCGCGTAAAATTAAATCAATCCGTTTCCGCACGTCATCTTTAAATATATTATGATATTCGATATGGTATTTAAGTGATAGCCTTTATCCCTCACGAAATACAGGCGAGTCTAAGACATTTAGTGACTGAGTGTCCAGCAGAAAGGTGACAGAGAGATCAGAGGTGGCGGTGTTAATAAACAGGTTTCCTCTACACCTAAGAGGCGTTTTCCTTCTCTAAACACTATTGCTTTAATGTTGTCATGTATTTTTCCACTAAGCTCGCACTCCGAGCGTGCCTTTGGGGAAAGATGCTAACAAAATAAGTTGGAACACCTGTTTTGGAAAAGAAATTCATTGCAGCAAAAATCCTGCCTTCCCAGTCGTTTATGCACTCACAATAACATTTGCTTGCGACATGGAAACTGGACAGAACAACACGCCTTTCCTTTTGTCCTCGTTTAAGGAAAAGAAAAGGGCTTGTTGCTGTGAAAGTGAATCCTATTATAAACTTGAAGAAAAGTTTTTTTTTAGTCAGTTATGAATAAAAAAAAACTTCATCTAGTCAATGATTGTACGTGTTGAAGGAGGAACACTGTCGGGAAAACACTCACCATCAGGTAAAAATCTCGAGGGATGCATGTTATTAAAAATATGTAAGATTGTAACCACGTTGATATAAAAGCATAGGTAGATAATAATCGAAAATAATAATAATGTTAAATATTATAATAAATGTAATAATAATAATAATAACAACAGAGGTTGAAAAAGTTAGGTTTTTAATGCATTTGCAGATTGGCTTTTCTAACCCAAATTTATTAAAGAATTTTGATCAACAGAGTTACAGTAAATAATCTCATTAATAGGTCAAACAGCTGCGCTGCTGTCATTTGCTCTGACAGCACAAACATGCTTTGGAATGAATGAGACCACTGAAATTTGCTTTTTTCTTCTTCTTTTTTTTAAAAGAATACCAAATCACATTGACTGCTTGTTTTAGCTATTTTACATGTAGGCTAATATACAAATACAATTTGTTTTGTATCAATAAAGATATTTTAATCATTACTCACGAAACTGTGCAGGGTCACATCACATTTCGTTCAAATGAGCTGCTATAAGAACACAAGAGGCAGTGGCTTTAAACCACAAAAAAGGGGAAAAACGTTTACATTTACCGCGGAAAATGAGTAATATGCTACGTTCTGAATACACTTTTTTTAATTTCAACAATGAGCAGGAACAGCGACTACAGAAAAGTAGGTTAAGGCTTTGAGAAATCTGCTTACATGCTGAAGCACCTGATAGGATGGTGAGAAATCAACATTTGATTGGCTAATGGCTCTCTAAATAATGTGTCCAAATAATCCTGTTTTTTTTTTTCTTCCACAACGCGGAACTTTATTTTAGCGTGGTGGTTCAAATTTATGAGCAAGACAGATATAAATGCAAGTTAATTGATAATGTACTACACATGTGCATGCACATTTAAAGTCTGTGCACTTTATCTGTGCATAAATCAAACCTAAAGAACCGTCGCAGGATAGACAACACTATTCTATTCTATTCTATTCTATTCTATTCTATTCTATTCTAACAGATAAAATAGAATATCCATTTGGTTGTGTTTTAAACTTTACTGACTGATCATAAAAGCACGCATGATGGATATGTGCCTCATTTTACAATCAGAACCTCCCGTGCGTTTTTTGGGGATAATCTCACGGATTCCTCTAAGAAAGAGTCTATTTAACCGTATTCAAATAACAGTTAATAAGAACACGTCAAAGCTTCAGCATATTCCTTCATCTGTTGACTGTGGAGGCTAGGAGGAGGGATCTAAAGTAAGAGCAAGGTCTTAAGTAGAAGAAGCCCATAGCTCAAAGACAACCTTGGCAAGCGAAACTATTTTCACGAACCCAGGCACGCACGAGGTCGAGGCAGCGGTCACTTCTCGGGGCCTGCATACTACATTTCATGAATGTTGTGAGTTTTGTCCTATTTTTAAACATGGTGATGAAATATAGTATTCGCATTTATGAATTACATGATGATATAATATAAAAAACAATGAATAATTTGACAAATTAACTGTATTTACTTTTCTGGATAAAAAGTAAGTTGCATTGCAAGTGCACTTAGTGCGCATTGGTGCGATTTATATTTCAAATGCATCATGCTGAGCGTGCATCTACACTAAAGGAAAGTAGCTATACATTTCAGTCAGCAAAAACAACTTTCGTTCATTTTGTAAAGAAATACTTTTAACAAAATCCACACAGAGAACATATTGTTTAAAAAGTGCATATCCTTACAGATATCCCACAAAGGTTCCCGTATCATTCGTTTTTGCTTGAGCGGAGTCTTCAACTTCACTTGTTTTGTATTCCTCTAAATCCAGCGGACTGCTCTTATTGGTAGGTGCGAGCGTTACATCACTATGATTATGACGCGCCGTCTTCCTGCTTCCTTCAGCCGCGTCTTAAAGTGAATCTTGTTGGTTCGAGCGCGCGCTCTCAGCCTCCTCCTGGCCGCGTGCGCTGAGACATACAGTTTTCATGCAGAGAGAGGAGCGGCGCACAAGAGCTCTTTCTCTATCTCACTCTCTTCGCTCTCGCTTGTCCCGAGAAATTACAATATTCATCACGGGGCGAACAACCCTCTGTATTCTCTGTTACACTATCGTGAAGAAGCTCAATTCGCTCTCATCTTCAGAGTAAGTAACCTTGTCATTTGCGCTCGCGCTGAGTTTTGTTCTACTACTGGTGACTTTTCATGCGATGCGCTGTATCCCTTTATCCTTCACGCTCTTCGGTTGCTATTTTATGATAACTTTATCATAAATTTGCATCATTTTGGAGGGGTTGCATCCCTATGTTTCCCGTAAAGTAAGTATAAATACGCTCTTGTAATATTGCTTGTAGACTTTGGAGAGGCGACGCGAAACATTTGCCTTCAGCCTGAACTTGCCGTTTCTTCTTCGCAATAGGACAGTCTATCTCTTCTGAGGTTTATATAGCCTAGTTTTAACATTTTTTGTATCTTCATTATTTCCATTTGCTTTTTGTCAGTCGTCTGTTGTTTTTATGCCAATATCAAATTTCCTTGTGATTTAGGCTACATAGATGCGCTCGCTGAATTTACGTTATCTCGTAAATGAAAGGTTTCAGATAGAAAAAGGGGTTGCAGCCAGCGGTGTCATGTGAGAATCTTTTAAGTTTCACAAAAAAGCTATTATTCTCTAGTTGTTTAGAAAGCCTCGTTATACTGCTTTAAAGAGCCGAGAGACAACAGTGAGCTGAAGAACCTATAATGTAGCCTAATATCAAGAACTTTTTTTCATTAATCTCCGAATAGCCAAACTGACAACTTAAAAAAAGGTTCTTGATAAGAAGGTGGCTTTTTGCTGAAACTATAAGGTTTTTAAAAAGAACTTTTGACTAACCTTTATTTTTAAGAGCGTATAAGCTTATACTGAGCCTCTGACTTTTACTGCAACTCCAGCTTGACGCGTTACTTCATCATCATCATCATCATCATCGTTTTCTGACGTGAAAGCCAGATACATCTAAGCTTAGAGTTTAGGAGAGAACTGCCGACGTATATAGAGCCGTAAAGTCTGTTTTAGGTGTTTCGTGTCAAAATGAACTATTTATATAGGCTAAATATTTTAGGTGTGAGGTGCAGTACATTACTCTGTTCCTCTAAGGCAGAATTTTCAATCAGGGCTCTGTGGAGATATAAAACATTAATTATAAACTAATGTAAAAACTTTCTAATTAAGGATATTTTTAACAATATATAATGTTAGTTAATGCTTCTGCTAAAACGTTATTTTACAGTGTTACTTATCAAGTCTAGCCTTTTTAGGGGTCTCTGGGTTTGCTGAGAGAATGAGTGGGAGTGGGGGGGGGGGTCTTAATGTCCTGGGTCTTAATGGTTCAAAACTGCGATTTCCAAAAACTTACACAAATGTCTTGGTTAACACAGCAACTGCGTTTTCCGAATCGTGTGTTCACATAAATATGTAATTGAATTAGTTATATTTTCTTTCTATCACAACTTTTTTGGCTTTAAGTTGAACAGCTTTAAATATTTGGAGAGGTGCGCGGACGCAATGGCCGTATGAGGTGAAAGACACCTAAAACGAACAGATTTTGTTGCCTTGTTGTCTTGACTTGTCAGATGTCTGTATTAGTGAGAGCAAATGCAGTGTATATCCGCTCTATTTCGTATCTTAAATGTAAACGTCTGACTATGTTAATCGGTGCGTCTTGAAGAACAATTAATTAAAGTTAGACATCTCATATAGTGCATGTCACACACTATTAGATATTTATTCTAAATATTTGCAAACGACTAGTTGTCAAATGGCCGTGCTGTTCAATATGTAGACAATATCACATTATATTATTAGAGTTATTATTTTCTTTAGGGTAACATTTTTTAGAGGAAGTAGGCGCGTTATTAATGATCTGTTAAGCAAACTGTGCACTTTAGTCATGCTCAGTGCGAGATGAAATTGTCTATTTACAGTGCGTTAATGAGCAAAGCAACATATTTGCTTTTATATTATGTAAGGAGAACTCCAACTTTTTATCATCTGATTTGAGCGACATGAATAATTTGGGCGATCTCAAATCACCGTCAACAAACTTGTAAAACGTGCAATTAGCCTTTATTACACTGTATTATCCACAAAAAGGGTTTGCTTTAAATTCATTTGATCAACAACAAACCAATTGTTTTGAAAACCCAGAATTGAATTAATGTGGTGTATTATACTTGTTGTATTAGGATTTTTTTTCTTTCAATTAGATGGGGGATATAATTGCCTGCTAATTTCCAAAAGATAATATTAAGTGTCTGTAACTGTTTTACTGACAAAACTTACCAAAGTGAACAAAGCCTGCAAGTTGGCTATGTATGTGTGCATAATAGTGGCAGGACATGTCTGGCTAAACACAGCAGTATGATTTTTTACTTGTTCTTTGTAGATTTACACAAATTTAAGTACAACTTTTTTTTTCTTTTCTTTTTTCTTGGAGAGATTATTAAAACAATTTTCAATTGACAACTTTGTAACTGACCCTAATTATATATTATTTGCTGTTAACCTCTTTTGTCCATTTTTATTGAATATATTGTGCCAACTTCAAGCATTTTTATTGCATTGTGTGTGGTTCTTTAAGGCATTAGACTATTACAAATTGCATTTAGGATTGGGTACAAGAAACTTAGAGACATATAAAGAAAATTATTCATCAGTCCTTTCTTTTTGGCTAGGTTCCCAGGGTTCTCGAGCTGTGCCCAGCTGACAGGCTTTCAAAAATGGCACAATAACTGTTCCAGTGATGCCTGACCATGACAGCACATCCCTCTTAAGCAGACAAACCAAGAGACGAAGAGTTGACATAGGAGTGAAGAGGACTGTTGGGCAAACATCTGTGGTTTTTACCCGCACAAAAGCAACCTTTTTTAGTGCCATGAATCCCCACGGTTCCGAGCAAGATGTTGAGTGTTCAGTGGTGCAGCACGCAGACGGCGAGAAGTCCAACGTGCTTCGCAAGCTGTTGAAGAGGGCGAACTCTTACGAAGACGCTATGATGCCCTTTCCGGGGGCAACTATCATCTCCCAGCTTCTGAAAAACAATTTGACCAAAAATGGAGGCAGTGAGCCTAATTTCCAGGGAAGTGGCCTCTCGAGCACCGGTTCAGAGATCCAGCAGGAGGATGCTTGCAGCAACTCCTCGCGGGGCAGCCCTCAGGAGTGCCTTTCACCATTCAACAGGCCCTCCATGACCCAATTTGAAATGGAGAGGCTAACAGATGAGCATCTTAGGGCCAAACGAGCCCGGGTGGAAAACATCATCCGTGGGATGAGCCATTCTCCAAGCGTCACGCTCCGTGCAGGTGATAACGAGCGTGAGGGGGCAGCCCAGCCCCCGAGTCCTCGTGAGAACTACCGGGAAAACAAGCGCAAGCAGAAACTGCCACAGCAGCAGCAGCAGAGTTTCCAGCAACTCGTCTCTGCCCGCAAAGAGCAGAAACACGAGGAACGCCGGCAACTGAAACTACAGCTAGAGGACATGCAGAAGCAGCTCCGGCAACTGCAAGAGAAGTTCTACCAGATTTATGACAGCACTGACTCTGAGAATGATGAAGATGGAAACATCTCTGAAGACAGCATGCGTTCTGATGGAATGGACAATCGTGCCCACGACTCGGTCCCAGATCGCTCCGACAACGAGATGTCTGACCTGGATCCAGGGCACTTCTTGGATCGAGCACGCGCACTTATTCGGGAGCAGAACATGATGGCGGAGGGGGACAAACACAAGCGTGATGGGTCACGAGGAAAGAGCCAGGGACCAACCTCCATGCACGCAGAGGGCAAACAGCTAGCAGAGACGCTAAAACAAGAGCTCAATACAGCAATGTCCCAAGTAGTGGACACCGTGGTGAAGGTCTTTGCCAAGCCTCCACGCCCAGTTCCTCAGGTTTTCCCACCCCTGCAGATGCCCCCTGATCGTTTCGCAGTCAATGGAGAAAACCCAAACTTCCATACTGCCAACCAGCGCTTGCAATGTTTCGGTGATGTCATCATTCCTAATCCCCTGGACACTTTTGCTAGTATGCAGGTGCACAACTCAAATGACCAAACAGAGGCCCTGCCTTTGGTAGTGAGAAAGAACTCTTCAGATCAGACTGGGTCTCTTCCCACACCTGGGGGTCACCACCACCATTCCCTGCACCCCTCACCCTTATCTTCCGCAATGGGCTTTAGTCCTCCCTCTTTCCGCCATCCTTTCCCCCTTCCTCTAATGGGCTACCCTTTCCAGAGCCCCTTAGGTGGCCCAACAGGGCATTACCCAGGAAAGGATAGGTCTTCTCCCGAGTCTCTGGATTTGTCCAGAGAGACCACCAGCCTACGGACCAAGATGTCGTCCAACCACCTCAGCCACCATCGTTCCATGTCACCAACACACCCAGGGAATGAAGGCTTGTCCTTGTCCCTCATCAAGTCAGAGTGCGGAGACCTTCAGGACATGTCTGACATCTCCCCATATTCAGGAAGTACAATATCCTTTCAAAAAAGAGAAAAGCATATTTTGATTGTTGTATTTTTATTTGTTTACATAAAAACAAATTAGACAGTTTTGGTGAGAGTGCGGCTTAAATAACATATGAATGACAGACAGATCTTAAAAGACATAAACTTAATTTCAATGAATCTCCATTAATCGGCACATTCAAGACCAGTGTTCCTCTAGTAGTCTGAAGATTAAAAAGACCTCAGTGGATGGAGGCTTTTAAGTGTGCGCTATATGGAGAAGTGCTGAAAGGCCCCGCCGTGGCTAAGATACCTCCCATCTTCTCTGTTCTCACACTATCACAGGGAGACTCACAATAAAACCCCCTCTTTCATCACAGCGCATGCAAGACTTTGTACATAAATGCTCAAAGCAAATCATATTTCAAAGCCAGGAAGTAAAAGGACAAGTGGGATCCTTTGCTTAGAGGCCCTAGAAAGTTGTGTTAGAAGGATGGTAAAAGATCTCTGTCAGTGGAGGAGCACTTCATTTAGGAGGATTTGTGCTAATTTAGTGTCAAGTGAAAGCAACAAGAGTAATAACGTCCCTACTGTTGAGCTTTGTCATTTTAAAAATTAATTCTCCCTCATAGTTGCTTTCATTTCATATAATATGTGTCATGAAACAACAAAGCCTATTTCTTATGAGCACCTCCAGCTTGCTTTAGGTAAATGTACACTGATAGCTGTTGCCTGGCAGTAGGTCTTTTCTTTTTTATCCTGTTTCACTGGTGTGAACAGGTGTTAGCAGGTAGCGGCTTTTCTTTCACGCCTTTCCCTCTTTTTAACCTTTTGCCAAATGCCTACTAGGTCTTAGATAAGCTTTAAATTAAGAAAATCAATTGTTTCATACAATTTGATGTGAAGTTTTTTTTTTTTTATCAAACAGTAACTTTTGCAGTTTCAAATGAAATTATTGAATTGATTAATTCAATGACATATATTTTTTTAATTAATTGCCAAAATAATTCATCCTAACGATGCAAAGAGAAACGGCATCCCAGGCAGGGATGCACTCTTCAGCTCAGAGGGAGTCTATTATTTCTGTAAGTATACTTGCACACCTGCTCAGTTGGGACCTGAACAACAACATCTCAATATTTGCAAAATAGGGTGTTTAATCAAATATGAATTTCTATTCAAATTTGAGAAGAAACAAGCAGCCAATTATCTTCAGCCATGGGCTGCATGATCTTCCTTGTCACGTGCTCTCTTTGCATCTCAAGAAAAATAGCCTTGTTCAGTTTCCCCCATCATTTGCATATAGAGAGACCGAACAGCTCTGGCACAGGGCTGTTGTAAGAATGGGGTGGGGGTGGGTGGCAGGTGAAGCCAGTTTGCATGTCTAATATAGTAGACGAGGACAGAGGTTCATGGTTGCGTTAGCTCCATGCTCAAGTGCTGAGGCAGCTATTGCTCACAGAATCAGGTTTCATCAATTAAAGCGAAGCAAAGAAAACGTGCACTATGAAGACATCGCTCAGATCACTTTTCAAACTCGATTGCCAAAGTGGTTTAATAAAAGACCTTCTCGATTTCAAAATCACTCTGCTAGTGGAATGACAAAATTTGAGTCCTTTCTGATTTATACATTTATATGTCAAAAGATTGTTGCAAAGCACTTCATCAAAGTGAATCATTTTTTTTTTCAGCTGACAATCTGAAAACGCTTCCTATTCTTTTTTTCTAAGCAAGAGCTAAAGTCTCAGCTGTAGTACATTTGTTGCTCTAATCTTTCATATTGCTGAACAGATGTCTAGCATTAATTTATGGATTTAGCATCCCTATGTTCTTTTTCCTTCCTTTCTCTCCTTACACCTGGCTGTTGGATCACATTTCACTAGTTATTGTCTCCCTTACATGCAACATGCTTAATAGAAAACCAGACCTAAAAAAGCCCGATGATGCAGTGCATCTATGGTGGCGTTGTTTATGTAGTATCTCATTTGGCTATAAACCACAGCTGCCCCATTTTTCTCCTCCCCTGAAATACTTCATATTCATGTTTGCATTATGTCCTTCATTCATGTTGACTATGGCCCGGCTTGTCTTACACTGAGTGGGCCAGTGTTTACTCGATCTATTTTGTCATTTCGCATATTTACGTATCCTAGAAACGGCTGTATTTTTCTTGGAAGCCAGGTCTACTTGTAGGAAATGTGCGTTCGGTGAGTCAAGCCCCGTCGAGTCATCCTCGACACATTGTTCCCAAGATCTGCGACTGTTTGTTTTATTTAAAAGTGGATGTCTTGAATGTTAATGGCACTGAGTAATGATATACCTGGGATTTATGAATGTTGTTAACAGAGCAGAGACAGAGCAGTAAGAACTGATATGATGGTCGCTCTGTAAATACTGCAAAGAGATTGAACAGTGGCAAACGATTCAGTTCTCAACTGCGAACACTTCCTCACCGCTTTTTATGTGCGATGCCCATTAGATTAAAGAGCTTCTCAATGTGATTAAACTCTTGAAAAAAATCTATGAAGGTGTTTACCAGCCCTCTATTTCCAGACTCCAACACGGCCTATTATTCGCTCCATTTCATGAAGATGCACTTTTGAGAAGCGGCCTCGTTGCCTGGGCTTTTCCCTTCTCTAGGTTTTTAAATGAGCCTTTAGGTCCTTGAAAAATCTGACTTGTTGTGAAAAAGACAGCTTAACTCTCTCTCTCTCCCTCCCTCGCTGTCGTTCACTGCTGTTATTTGCTGTATGCATTATGACAGATGGTAGGAAAGAGAGTAATGCTCTTTTGGTCTTCCCTATCAGCCTAATGGAGGTCACCTAGGGTTCTCCTCCTCTCTTGGCAGAAGGAACACGCCAATCTACATACACACTATTATTAGAGAGGCTCAACATTGCAAATAGCAGACAGGCCATTGTTTTTAGTTTCTTACATGTAGATGCACTTACTGTTGCTTTTGTAAGTTGCAACATTTATTGTCGCGACTGTTCCAGCGCTTAGTGTTTTACATAACAGACACAGTGAGGTGCTGTATTCAGTGCGAGCTGCCATGACGGTGCCATGCTTTATAGTGAAGGGGGGGAAGAGTGGTGAGCCTCTTAATTGACCTTGTGGGGGCCCATTGATTTAGCCCCACATGCATCTTCATTTTTGATAAATTATAAAGCCGTTAATTTGCAGAGGAAATGGCTGGGCCAGTCTGGAGCGCAGATGTGGCTAAAGCCGGCCTAACTGGCAGAGCGGGGGCCGTGCCAGGAGGCTCAGGGTGGAGGGTTGGGGGTTGGGGCTAATTGTAATGGGTAGATGGCTCTGGTTAGCCACGGTCTCTCCTGGGACCCCCCTCAGCTGCCCTCTGTTTACCAATCTAGAGGGCAGTGCCACCTCCAGATAAATAGCGTTTTTATTGGGATAAGCAGACGTTTATTGACTTGCGATGCTACATTGACTGGAACTCTGTATAGGTGTTAATATGCAGTCGTCAGAAAACTGAAATAATTAAGGATTATGTTTGCTACAGTGTAATTATTGGTCTTGTGGTAAATATAAAATAAATAAGGGAAGCTGATTTTATTGGGGAACTTAAGCTATTATATTTATCTATTGTTTTAATTTATTTCATCATAAATGGGATTTATTGTCTTTATTTGATGACTAAAATAATTACACTTTAAAATATTTTCCCTAACCTTCAAATTTCAAATCCAAGAGGGGCTTTCTCCGAACCATCTGAAGAAGGCCAAGCTGATGTTCTTCTACACACGCTACCCCAGCTCCAACATGCTGAAGATGTTCTTCTCAGACGTGAAGGTGAGCTCGCCGTTGACCGTTAACTATGTCGTGTGAAGTAGCACTGTCCCATTAGTCCAGATGGGTCCCAAACAGACGGCCAGCTCCCCCAACCCTCCACCCCCCCAATTAAAATAACTGGCCTTAATCTCCTAGAAGAGAACAACACGGCATAGCACAAGTCCCACTTTCCCTTTTACTCACTTACACTTTCATTTAAAACACTGATCATGAGAGTACTTTGTTTTTAACTTCTTTTATTCTGTCGCGTCACTGCTGGTTATCGAGCACAAACAACTATTCTCTGTCTCTGTTAACTTGTCGGATGATAATTTCCTAGAGTTCCCATTCCCAACTGATCTGTGGAAGTGGGAGGCAGAGGGTGATAAGAGCTGAGAAAATTAGAGGTTCGGCAGAAATGAACAAGCGAAAGCGGGAGGGGATGGAAAGGAGGAGGGAGACAACAAACAAAATGGAGCACAACAACACAAACAAAACAATGGCACCAATTGTCTTTTATTTACAACTTAATTTGTTGTTGATGCGTCATACAGGGAGCATACGGAGGAGAAATAATGTGACAGATTCAGGCCACATTATTTAAATGAGGAGGGCAGGGTCCTCTCACTCCCAGCTGCCCCTGTGCTGGGTCCAGGGTGACCACCTCATCCTCGCACACATGCTTCTGTTGCATCCATCTAAATCTGCCAGCAGCTTAATACTCATGAGTACGTACTGCCATTCATCGCTCGCTGTTAGCGCTTATGCTCCAGTAGGAAATCATATCATTTAATGTCTCGAAAATACTTTGAATGTAATATTCAGAGAAAGCAGATTTTTGTTGTTGTTGTTGTTGTTTATTCAAGTCAATTCTGATTTCAGTGAAAACCCCCAAACCTTGTACCTTAATTTTGAGACACAAAAGAGAAAGTTTATCAAAACCTTAAATTAAAGACGGCCCAATTACAATTCCCCTTCAGACAAGGCTGTGAAATTCTGTACACATTAAATTAACATTTTCTAAAACAAGGTCAGTGTCCTGGGAGAGATGGTTTTCAGGGCTGCTTAAGCTGAAGGGAACAATGGGTGGCATGTGTTTGTTGGATCAACTAGTATGTATGTAAGGGAATTAAGCATAAATTACTGACTAATTACGGCTGTATAAGCCTACGAAAGTTACAGGAATTAGTGATTAAAGACGTTTAGGCACCATAATGATGGGATCTAAATAGGAAATAATGACTGTGGGAAATAGGTTGATTTGACAACTGTTTTACCTAAATTGTCTGTAATCGGATAATTAAAAAAAAAAACATTCTGCCTTTGTACTAGAGCAACTATTTAATCACTTAGTCGAACAAAAATTTAGAATTAACTCTCTCTTTTTGGAAAATATTTTTTTGAATAAAATACAAATTAATGGCTAAAATGATGTGCTACATTAATGGTGACTTGTATATTTGTAATAAAATGCAATCAAGATGTTTAAGACGAATCAATTAAACTACTCTGAGAAAATTTAATAATAATAGTAATAATGATAATAATATTTTTTTTTATTATGAAAGCAATTATATATGTACAGTCAAGGCTGTAAAGTTCAATTGTAAATGTGTTATGGTTAAAAGTGTGAGTCAAAGAGAATTTGAATGATATCATACTTTAACCATGATGGTGGTGATGGTGATGATGATTATAGATTGTAGCTCAGTCAGGAAGAGGAAGCTGCTTTTTTACGGGGAGTGCGCACCACTTGTGACTTCACGGAGTGAGCCAGTAGTCATAAAGAGATGAATACAGCCTTCCTTCACAGGAAACTGTGACAATCCAGTGATTGGAGTTCTTATGTAATGGATAATACCTTTGTACCTCCTCAGTATCTCTTTTTCGCAGTTGTTCCTTGAACTGTGATCATATTTGTCACACAAAGTATTATAAAACACAGGGTCATTATCCTAATGTGATGTACTGCCAAACTACCTTGTTCATCCTTTACTCCTCTCTCGCCCCCTGCATTTCTTCCCATTTTAATCTACATAAATCTCATATGGCATATTCACATCACTTCGCGCATGGAGAGGTGGTCCACTGGCTTGGTTACCGTAGACTTTGAGGGCTAAATAAGAAGGGGTCAAAGGTTAAGAGGAGTATTAGCAGGACGATGGTGTGACACTGATTATGAGCAGTCAAAGCAAGTATGAGCGGGGGTTATGTCACCCTGTAAGGGTTGAGGCGTATACGTTTCAGCAGGACAGCTCCAGTAAGGTCAACCGTAGGTCAGGGAAATTATTTTAGCTGCTCAGGCTTTGTCACCCGGCTGCCTGACTGCCTTTAAACATACAGCATACCATGTACCATTAACAGCTGAATATCAAGTAACCTACTGGGGCACTTAGCTTACTTCCCTCTATAGAGCTCGACTTTTCCCAGATTCACAATCTAAGTGCATGCTGTGTGTGTGTGGTGGTGGGGGGGGGGGGGGAGTCTTAAAATGCACAGACCCCCGTATAAGTAGCGTCCCCACCAAGCATGTGTGAAAGCCTGTATTGTCCATGTTTAACAGAGGAAACGTGCGGAGTGACAGGTCAAGTCTTCCCCCGGTGTCTTGGAAAGAGCGGATCTCTGTCACCAGAGGAATAATCTTTCACAGTCCCGTGAGCAAGAGTGTGTGAAATGTTCTCGCTCCCGTACGTACACCCTTGTTCTCTGAGTCAACTGCTGCCCGGACACATTACAGGCGTCAGACTGATTTGTTTTATGAATCTTTTGAGCGTGCTCATTGGATATATAAGGTTTTTTATTTTTTTTTTTTTATTTTTTTGTGGGGGTAGAGAATAACAGGATGAGGTGTCCCATGGGAAGCATTGCATTTTGTGTTCTTAGAACAGCACTGGAAATGATGTCCAGAATAATAGATTTTATGAAACTAGTGTGTTTGTGTGTGTGGATTTTAGCACATATACGCAGATGCATCTTGCTGATTTAAGAGTGGACTGTGATTGCAACTAAAAAAATTATTTTAAAATATTGTCTAGTAAAGTTACTTTTAACCTTTATTTAAAAGAATGTATTAAATAAGTATTTAAAATAAATATTTATATTTGATATTTGAATTTTTATATATATTATATTAGTATATTTATATTCAAATTCTACAACATATAAAATATACTAAAAACATCAAAACAATGTATTTGTCTATAGAAACAACAACTATAATATTCATTAATTATAATTAATTTAATCCAGACAAAATGGGAACTGAAAATGTAAGTGGATACCACCCCTGTATATATTTACACAGGAAATTGAAACATGTCAACATCTCAATAGACCTTTAAAAAGATACTTCAAAAAACTTTGTGTGAATACCAACACATCTCACTTTCTCTCCCACAATCCAACTTAGAAAAATGACTGCGTTTGCAAGTGTTTTTTTTTTTTTTTTTTCATTCTACGATGTATCATTTAATGTTTTGTTCAGTGCATGTGGTGGCTAAGAGCTGAGAGAGCTAGACTGGTTATTTTCGTTTGACAAGCAGATGACATGATCCTTAATTGCTGAGTTGTCACGTTCCAGCAACGTGGCTCCATTGTCCCCCGAATCTCTGGTATTTCTATTGGGCAACAATGCTTTTTAAATCTCCCTTTATACCGCGCTGCCAAACGATGTCATGCGGACTTACTTTTCTGCGCTCTCCATTATGTCATCCACTAGCCATTCTAGAAAAAAATTCCCCCCTCTCTCGCCTTTTATCCGACTCTTCTGCAAGCCCCACTCATATGAGACAATGTCTTATGACAATAGAAGAGCCTAATCTCCATGTCAAAGCAATTTTCATTCCCCAGTGAGCAGTCTGCTATCATTTTGTAATGTTTTGTTTCTTATTCTAAAAGAATTAAGGGGGTGGTGGGGGGGCTGGAGTAAGTCGTCACGGGGGCCGGGGTTCTTATCTCAGTGTCTGGAAATTTGGACAGTGCATTTCGCTCCGCAGATAAAGTGGAAAAAAGAAGGCCCTCGAGTTCAGTAGATCCTAATAGGTTTAACGTCTATTGAAACGGGGGTAAGCGAGAGATCAGATAGCCTTGCTTCTTTGGTTGTTCTTTTTTTCGCCTCTTTCTTTCTTTTCAAACCCCTGTTCTCGCTGGCTGTTAGGCTGAATGAAGGCAGAGGCGACACACAGGCCAAATGTATAATTCCTGGATAGGTTAAGTACATGTTTGAACTTCTGCAGACTGATGCCTCGGGATGACGACTTAATCATTTTCTGCTGAATTATGGGAGAAGAACCCTGGCGGTGGCGCAGTAATTATGCTCTCGGCTGGCCTTTTGGGGAAACCTATCAGCCTGTCGTGGCTTCTGACTCTTTCTCCGACTCGGATTCCCCGCTATGAATTCTCATTCACATCATTATCTTAAATTTGCAAGCATGGAGACAAGTTTCTACACGGTAATTACATCTACCCTCGGAAAACACGGCTGCCCTCCCCCCTCTTTGTTCCTTGTCCTTCCTCTTTTTTCTCCTCATGCTCGATCTCTCTCTCTCCTCAGCTGTCATCTAAACAGAGGCCTGCATGTTCTCATGGCCACAGATAGATAAGTGCTCGCTGTTGATTTTTGATTAATGCTCTTTGAGGGTATGGAAGGGGAGGCAAAGGCAATGAAGGCTTGATGAACACCCGTAATGACAAAAGGCAGGAGGCTGCGTGTCAGAGCAGCCAACAGAAAGCCCGTTGGATTTATAGCTTTTAACTTGGCTACATTCAACTCAGCTGTCCTGTACATTCACACTCTTGGCAGACACAGCTTTTACGCACACACACACACACACACACACATACACATCAACATACACACGTAGCTGCACACACAGAAAGTACCAAAGGCTGTCGCTCAGGTCATTTGCTGAGGTCATGGGGCAAGTACACAGGGCAAACGGAGCACTGTGTATTTACTGATCTAGAATCAGACACTCCAAATATAGCTTCCACAACAGTGTACGAAGGCCAGCTTTGAGTTACTGAGCTATTCAACTAGAGCAGAACTTTTGATTTCATTTTGATTTCTTAACTCAGTTTCATTTGCTTGATCACTTACTTCACTCGGTTTTTAATGTGGGGAAAAGACCTGGGGCATGTCAGAATTAACTTCGCTACTTGATATGTAAATTTGCCGTCACTGCATTACGGGCTATTGACATAATTATAATTTCATCTACTCAACCCTGAACTGTTTGCATTTGCGCACAACAGCAAATATCCCAACCGACCGTGTAAGCCTTGTTGGAAAAAAAAAACACTTCACTGACCAATCTTTCTCAGCTACGGGTTTGTTTGCTTACCCATCATCCTCAAGGACAATGTGAAGTAAACACGTTTGTAGAAACAAATGTCTTATCTGTTGTTCTGACATTTAAGGGTCTCACTGGCTAACCAGATTAGAGGTTAGTCACACCTGATTTTTTAGTTTTCAGTAAACACAGACTAAAGATTGAAATATTTGGAACCTTCTTGTGTAAGTTTTTAAGAAAAAAAAAAAATTAAAATATATATATTATTTTTATTATGCATTAATAATAATAATATTTCTTCTTTTTTTTGTGATAACGTACATATAAATAGCTTGTGTTTCAGGGTCAGGAAAACACATAATATCAGCAATTAAAAAATCCATTTTAATAATAATAATAAAAACTTATATCTACTTACTAAATTTGAAAAAATGAATTTCTCTGTGCAGGACCGATCTTACAAAAGTAACATATCTTACAAAAGGTGTTTCTCTTTTTTTCCCCTCTCTCTCTCTCTCTCTCTCTCTCTCTCTCTCTCTCTCTCATAGTTCAACCGCTGCATCACATCACAGCTGATCAAGTGGTTCAGTAACTTCCGTGAGTTTTACTACATCCAGATGGAGAAATTTGCTCGGCAGTCCATCAACGACGGTGTGACAGGGGTAGAAGAGCTGAGCGTGAGCCGGGACTGCGAGCTTTTCCGCGCTCTCAACATGCACTACAACAAGGCCAACGACTTTGAGGTGAGCCTTCGTCCGTTCCGTTTGTTTCACACTACTAAGCAACTGCATTCACCTTATCAGGCCACACTGTATTACGAGGTGAGATTCAAGCAGTGATGCATAAGGTATTACTTTGAATCCTTTCCGTTAATGTTAGCGCAGTTCAAAGCTTTAAAATTAATACAGCTAAATGATCTCTTTATATGATTAGACAATGAATGGCAAGCTGTTCATCCCGTAAGCCACCCCCCCTCGCTGTACTCCTGGGGTAAAGTGAACAAGAATTTTTCTCTTTTTTTGGGGCTGAAACACAGTCATGCATCTGTCTGTTTGATGAGGCAAACAGGGAGCGATGCTTCAGGCCCAAGTGTCCTTGTCAAATACAATTTGCAGAGCTCACATTTACCGCTCAGCTCACTATCAATATCTGCCCACTGGGACTCTGGTCATTCAAACACTATCCTTACAACATCATCATTTAGCTGACTATTAGCAAAAAATCTGCCCCTGTTCCCCTCCCCTCTCTTTCATTTAGATCAGGTCAAAGACAAGGTTTATTGTAATTGCAGGTACAGAGAACCTGGCGCACCACACCTTTCGTGACCAGGAAGATATTTAGGGACGTGATCCCTATTTTCATATATAAATGCAAGATTTGCATGGCTGTGGAAGAAAGTGCAGGGCACCATGAATAAGACTGTTGTTGGTAGAGAAGTCGAACCGAGGGAGAGATTGTTTTGCATATCAAGAGCCACAAAGGCTGCACAGGTGTACAAGCAGGACCGCCCGAAAGACTTTCCCAAATGCTAATTTTCCATGCAAGGAAAACTCGATCTTTGATGCAAATTTCAGCGCCCTAGTCTGTTCCTTTTTTTCTACCGGGCCGGCTCACGCCATGTCTTGTCTAGCATGCGGCGATATCCCACAGCAAGTCCGTGCCGCAGAGAGAGGTCACACAACCTTTGGCGGTGCAAAGGGACACTTCATGCTGAGGCTTTTTTGTACTAAATTTTCTCTTCTCCACCTGTCAGACTGCGAAGCATGAAACTGGAACCCTCGCCGATTCAGCAAGTTGCTCTTTCTGCCAAATTTAGCATCATCAAAGTACCACCTTGCTAGCTCCTCCTGAATGAATATACCCTCTGTTGTGCTGATCGTTTGATGTTAATCTAGTCTGTCAATGTGCACCAGTAATGTGCTTCCTCCTCCTTTGAGACTTTCTTTTTTGTAGTTGGGCCCTGTCATTTCTCTCTCCCTCTCTTTCATTGCACTTCCTTTTCGCTGCCTTGTGTCTTTCATCCTCTTCGAATGTACTCACCCCTCACTTTCCCATTACAAACTTTTTAATGACATAATTGTCACATTCCTCATGGTGGATTGAGCAAAGGCCGTAATTAAAGGAGCTTCATTAATTGCCTTCAATGCACTTGTGTTGTTCTCACCAAGCTTGCTGTTTTCTTTCAAGTTGTTTATCCTTCATTCGGCTCCTCCTCCATCGTGCTGTCTCGATACGCCATCATTTTTCTCCTAATTACTGCTCTGTTTGTCTTAGCTGGACAATGGCACAAATGAACACAATCAAGGACATTTGCATAGACACAGCTTATGATGTCCGGACCCTGAAAGCCCCCCCACCCCCCCCCCAAAAAAAGAGAGAATCTCCCTTTCTCGTCTTCTCTCCTAAACAGGGCCGCCAGCAATGTGGCAAGTGCTATCTCTTAGCTGAAGGGGTTTCTCTATGTACAAACAAGATATGATCATGCCTAACAGGCCTGCTTAACTGTTGTCTGGAAACATCATTTGTTTATTCTGCATAGGCTAATGGACACATTAGAATATTTTTTTTAAAGGGGTTGTTCACTTAAACATGAAAATTTGGTCATTATTTGCTCCCGCTATGTCCTTCCAAACTATGCTGTTATTTTCTTTCCATGGAACTCAAAAGGAGGATTGCTTAAGGGTTTTCATGCAGCTCTTTTCCGACAACTAGAGCTCATTCATATAATATAAAGAAGGCACCATAAAAGAGGTCCATATGACGTGTGTGCTGTATTCAAAGTCTTTTGAAGTCATATGACAGCTCTGTGTGAGGTTGTTATTTACTGAAAATTTGCAGCTATTAAACTATGAAATTTTGACATGCCATTTTTGAAAAAATTAAGATTGTCAGTGCATAATTGAATTCCTCGAATGAAGCTATTGTATGGCTTCTGAAGACTTTTTGTTGTTGTCTATTTTGGAACTTGACTGGCTTTATGGAAAAGAGCTGCATAAACATTTTTCTAAATTTCTTTCATTGAGTGTGAAAAATATTTGTTGAACAAATCCTTTAAAGTCTAAAAAAAAGTCACAGAGGATTTAATCGTTCAAAGAAAGTGAACACCTGTTAAATCTTGCAGCACAGTTACGCATTGTTAGCCAAAGTGGCGTTTCCAGGCCCTGTAATTGTGGCATCTGGTTCTCAGGAGCCGTCTTCACACTTACTGTATCACATCACAGGCACCATTGATGAGTTCTAAGAGGGGTGGGGTCCACGGGCTCCACTGGGATAAGGAGACATTTTTATGACAGCTCTGGGAAGGTCTCATCTTTCGGCCACAAAATAGTTCAAGGCTCTTCTGTCAAACCCCCCTGAGTGTCCCCCCCCCCCATCCAACTTGCCCTAGACTCGCCTTGTCTTCAGTCCTTGTACCCTCCTCCCATGAACCGGCTGAGGAGAACATAGAGAAGGCTTAGTCTCTTGCTCTCTTTCTTTGGTCCCTGTGATCTCTGAACCTTTTTGAAAAATTGTTGGTGGCCATATACCCACAGCACACTCACACAGACCTCCTTTGACTTCAAGAGTTCTCGTCTTGGTATCTTTGGGCTATCAGGTGTCCGTGGCTATTATCATTCTGAGTGAATGAAACTTAGAGACTTTGTTTGTTTCCCACTCACATTTTAGTTTTGTTTGTGTGGCGAAATTCCAAGGTTAAAAAGATACCGTTATAGTTGAGGGAATACTTAAAAGGTGAAGTGTGTAATTTCTGCGCCGCTAGCGTCAACAAACGGAACTGCAAAATTAATGACTTTAATTTACAAACTCTCCCCTCGTCTGCCATTGGTCGATCAAACAGATAGCCCCGCCCAAAATACACACCATTGGTTGAGCCAGTGTTGCTGTTGTAGGGCTGTGCAAACAAACAGAGCCAAAGTGTTTATACTTTTAAGGGAAATCAACATAATTATAAGGCTTACTTATTATTTCCTGTTAAGGTGGAATATTATATACATACTTAAATACGAATTAAAATGTCTATAAGACAAGCACATAATGTAAATGATGCAATTTAAGATGCTCTGACCAGCAACACTCCCCCTTGAAAAAGATCAATTATCCAACATCCAACACGTCCCCCTCTTCTCCAGGTTTCTCTTCTCTTTTGTTTCTTCTCTCGTCTCCTCTTGTCCATGTCTGGTGTGACCTACCCCAAAGGCCTTCATTATTAATTGTCCTTTGGAGACAGGGAAAAGTTCAAAGACTGTGCGGATGGTCCCTTTACTGCGACCGTCTATTGTCAAACATTCATCTCCCTTTACCCTTGTTCCAGGAGTGTATTATCTCCCCTGCCTCATGAGAAAAGAAGGTTATCAATAAGAGCGTAGAGAGCTGCCATCGTGACTGCCAGGAGGTCCTGGCCTCCCAAGTCCACACACAGCTCCCCCACAGAGGGCTAGTTTACTGTTGTTTATCTTTGAGCTGCTAGCTTGTGCCACGCTACACTAGCACATCTTAGGATCAGGCTCTGGTTTCACTTCTTCCTCTCTGACCTCACACTGACCTGCAGTGTGGTCTGCCAGCTCACCTCACGCTTCCATTATAACGCCACTCAAAGCTACGGACGGTGCTGCGAGATAGTGTGGACGTTTAAAGGATACATTAGGGAGGGTTCAGCTTAATCTTACAGTTGTAACCCCTTTACATCTCATTTTCTTCCAGGGGAAAAACAAAAACGTGTAGCATTACAGTTTTTTTTTTTATATAGATTGCATTTTTTTTAATCTACAGGCTCTACCCTCTGTGCTCTGACAAGGAGGCTAAAGACCGCAGTCTCTAGCTTCAGTCGCTAGAGCGCCTCTTGAGATCAGGGGAGTGAGGTTTTGCCTGCACAGCTCTTACTAGCTGGCTTCCGTTACACTTGCTCATATAATGTTATTTAATGTTCAAATTAAATTAAAAATGCTTCAGTTACGAATTTAACATTTATCTCTTAATATTCCGCACAGAACATCGTCTCAATATCAAAACCGAACCCACATCTAATATGCAGCAAAAGTATATAAAATATCCGCTCAAATGAAACCAAAGACAAAGTCAGACTTGGTGCACCATTGTATGGCAAGCGCACACGCAGCTGGGATGGCACCCCTCACAATAAGTGTTCTGTGGTGAACCCTTAGCACGTCATGTGATATAAAGAGTCACTGTGGTCAGATGATGCAGACTATTGTCTTCAAGGGCTCTTGGTCACGATCATCTTCCTCTCTCTAATTAGATCATACTGTCTGATGGACTGACACTTACAATTACAACACTTATTTTACAGGAAGAAAAACGACCCTCCAATGTAACAGTAGAATCTAAGTGTAGATTTGTGTATTTATTTTGACAAAAATAAAACAGAAAATTAAAACAATTACAAATATACAGTAGGCCCTATATAATACAAATATAATATAAAAATACTTCTATGCTTTAATATCAAGTACAATCGGTTTAGCAGTATGCCGCTAACAGGCTCTTATACTCGGTGCTGAATCAATTCATCACTGGAGAGCTGATGGATAGGAGACTATAATGCATTTCCTCTTTTTTCACTACCGCTTTGCTATAAATGTCACGCTTCGCGGCTCCCCTTCACACAGTACCATCCCCAGCCGAACGTAATAGAGCTCTATGAAAACAAACTCCCATCATATTAGCTTAGTTATTACCATGTTTCACGTCAGAGAAGCTCCAGTAATCTAGTTATAGGACGACA